TCAGGGCCCTCGATAACCTATGGCAAAGTTCACTCAAAACGACCAAAAGTCTTAAAATAAGCTAACCTCTCTGGTATGTTCTTTTGACCCTGACACAAACCCACAAACTATTTTTTTTTGTATGACCCTCCTTTCAGTCGAGGGAATTAAGAAGGTCATTAAGAAGATTGACGTCGAAGATCCACCAACTCAACGTGCTATTGCTAAAGATCTTCACATCAGTCAATCAACTGTCTCGAACATTATCAAAAATTCTGGATTTACTCTTCGAAAAAAACAGAAAGTTCAAAAGTTAACATCATCAAATATTATGAAACGTAGACAGCGATCATTTCAACTTTATCTTCGATTAGCACGTGGTCGATATAAGAAGTTCATTACAACAGATGAAGCTTGGTTTTATTTAGATGGAACTGGTGGAAGAAGAAAAGTATGTTATATAAAAAAAACTGATCCCGATTATGATCGAATGATTATTCAACAAAACACTTCACGACCAAAAGGTTTTATGGTATGGGGAGGTGTATCAAGTCAAGGAAAAACTGCACTTCGTTTTGTTGCACCTGGTACAAAAGTTAATTCAAATTATTACGTTAACAAGGTTTTAAAGCCATTTTTAGCACAAGATGTTCCACGTTTATTTTCAAAAAGACGAAAAATGAAATGGTTTCTTCATCAAGATTCGGCACCAAATCATACTGCCGAACAAACAATTAGATTTTTGGACCAAAACAAAATTCATTATTTAACACCACAAGAATGGATGCCTGCTAGTCCTGATGCTGCACCAATGGATTATTCAATATGGGGGTATTTGAAACAACAACTGAATAAAATTCATATTGATTCTCTTGATGAACTTAAAAAAAAACTTTTGAGTGAGTGGCGAAAGATGAGTCAGACTTATATCGATAAAGTATTAGCTTCCTGGCCAAGGAGAGTTTTAATGACATATAAAGCTCGAGGCTCTCATATCGAACATCGTTTATAATTGTCCTTTGTTTTTGTTTATATATATGAAAAATAAAACTATTAATAATCATGACAACAACCCTAAAAAATTTTTTTTCATACTTGTTTGAGATTCATCAAAATTTTGAGCTAGAGCCAGAGAAACTAACAAACAAATTATATGAATTGATAGAAGAGCTGATGCTCTATCTAACTGTGCTCAAATAAAAAAAATTCGATGTATTGCATAAATACAGCAAACGACACAAAACTAGCAAAAATAACGTAATCAACCTGTATCCTGAGTGTTATTTATCTTGCTGTAAGATAATTTTGAGTTTCTGAACACCAGTTAAAGATTAATCCACAGAACTAATAGGTTTATAAAGACTTGTGAGAACTACATAAATTGATCAACTTTGTTTGTTTATGTTTTGCAAATAAAATTGTTTTAATTATTAAAAATCCATCTATTTCATGAGTCTAAAATACACGCAATCTCCTAACGAAAAAGTAGTATCCGTCCAATCAAGATAGTTCTTTGAAGTTTGAAAGGCTAAAAACCCATTGAAAATGAAAGAAAAAAAACTGGCAAACCCCAAACGCTTTATTCGATCGTGGCTGGTCATGATTACGTGAGTTTCCTTGTATGACAAGACGTTTCTCAGGTTTTCGAGATATTTGAAATGTAACTTTGACTTAGCACAACAATCTTGGTCTATGTAAAGTTTAACTATTTTCAAATATTGAAAATTTTCCATGAAAATACCGTAGGAAGCAGTATGTGGCTATTTAGTCTGTCCACTTACCGGTGATAGTTGCTACTATTGTAGTCGTTTCTGTTGTTGCGGTGTCTGTAGTCGTGTCTGTTGTTGCCGTGTCTGTCGATGTCGTTTCTGCTACTGTTATTGCCGTTGTTGTCTTGGAAGCTGCACCTTAATTACAGAAGAACATGGTTTTTGTCAGTGAATCAGTATATTTTTGATTTGATAAGATGGTACTCTAACTAAGATTTGAGCCATCAGACAGTCATGGTCAGCAAAACTTCGAATATTACTCGAATGGAACGAGCATTCTTACTTGTTGGCGTTTCTGAATTAGTTGAAGCATATTTTCTCCATAGAAAAAAAAAGGATTTTTATGCCTTTGTATCAGAATATTTCTGATCTGATTAAAAAATTACATTGTCTATTAGAAATCTACCAGCGAGTGACTTCTTTATTCATAACATTCGTCTATATTAATCTGAAAAGTAACGATTTCTTCCCTATTCTTTCGGAAAGACGAGTTTTCTATGGGCACAACAGATAGATAAAATTCTTCACTGTTACCTTTGTCTCTGACACACTTGGGTGGATTAGATGGTGCGATGTTTTGGTGGTGGTTATTTTTCGACTTGTTCAAATGAAATGCTGTTCGTTTTTTGATATGCATTTTTCAATTATCTGAGACGATTCGATCGTTATGTAACGCTGTCATATAAAAAAAACCTTATTCTCTAGTACCACTGCTAGAACTGGAATTTCTGGTGAAAGTACTTCTCCAAGTGAAATGCTTCTAGAGCCATTTTTGTAGATCATTAAATAGGTTTTTAAATGTTAAGAAAGATTTCGCTGAAGTATTTTCGCTCAGATAAAAAATGTGAAAACGAAATGAAGCGCTGTTATAATGCTTTTTTCGATGAAATTCGCGGTACTGAGCACGCTCAGAAATGCGTTAATTGCATGAATATTCTTCTTTCATACCTTACAATAATGTGCAAGTTGTTCTTGATAGTAATAACAATGAATAAGTCATATTGAGAAGTTTTGAATTCTGCAATGAATTGTATATCGCTCAGCACTTTTCGAAAAAAATCTCTTAGTTAGTCAATATGAACTATGGTTTTCGTTGCCAAAAGCCAATTTTTTTAGATAATCAAATTTTAAAGTCGTAATCAATGTAAAAAGCTGCATCTAGCAATATATTCAGATCTGTCAATTTCAAAAAAATCATTCACGAAATGTTACTTTACATAGGCAATCCGTTTTACTTCTGCTAATGAATTCTATCGCTAATTTTGTTGTCGATATGCTTATATCTCTTTTCGGGAAACCAAAGTCAATCGAAAACAAAAGAAACATCGAGATTATCTACATGAGGTCTAATCACTAGTCTGCCGGTATTAGATAAACGATTTCTGGCTGCCGAACACTTCTTAGAAGTATCTTTCAAAGATTTTCTATTTCATGAATTAGTAGAAAAGCTAGCATTTTATGTCCTGTAGAAACAAAGGTGTTCGTAGAAGTCATTCGAACTGCTTTGCTCGAACAATTCTAATATGAGGCCAATTATAATTCTCGAGACCTTTAAGTAAACAAGTGCAGATTACATATTGTAACTGTACTCAATAAATTACTGGCTGATGACTTTAAAAATTTCAGAAGCAACTTTTACCGGAGCGGTAATTCTATTTTTATATTTTGTCTACTTTTCTTACGAACACTATTGCTTTATTTACCCTACCACAAAGAAAAAGAATCCTGGAGATAGTCTACGTCAGAAAGTCGAGTCTCATATGCAAGTATTGACTATTCTTTTGTGTTCTTGAAACTAATTCTTAAACGAAATAAAAAGTACTCACTTAAAGTCAAAGCAAGAGCCAAAGCGATGGCAGCTGCAATGAGAGCGAGGCATAAAGCACATGTGCATATTAGACACATTGGAGGGCATCCCATAAATTTTCTTTGTTTCTTTCGGCTAAATGTAGAAATGTCGAAAATAAAGGATTAACATCGATTGAATAATCAATAACGTTCATCTTCCTACTTACTGAGTTTCTTCTATTAAATTCTCTACGACGTTGATATAGGGCACAGAGTTTTTTGCAGGAGTTATTTGTGACCGACGAGTTGGAAAGTCATTAGTCCGCCACAAATCAGTATCATATGGACTGTTCGTTGCCTGTAAAGGATGTATACAT